AGCATCCTTTGGATATTTTCTCCACGTCATGCTGGTGTGTTGGAAAAAGAGCAGGCAGATAGACTGGCTGGCTGTGCACCACATGGTGGTGAATTCATGTATGACAAGTTAGATATTGTGAGGGTCTTTTGGGAGCGAGTAAACAGTGTGGAGGCGCAGATAGATCATTACGGGTACATAGACAGCATGCTCATCTATCTTTATAATGAAACAGCTTTTACAAAAACAAAATTAACAATCTTTAGCCATACTGCTGTTTGAAAAGTCTTCAATGCAGCAATATAAAAATTTTTATTATATTTACTTAGAGGTTACTAAAAATGTGTATGTATGTAATTGTACTCCACCAGTACATCATACAAGCGATAAACACCCGGTGACACAAAGTGCCACCATGCGGAATAGGATCACCTGTGGAGAGGTCCGGGAAACCCAATTCAGCCATCAGGCCATATTTCAGGCCCGGCTATACTTAGGGCCCCCAGCAAAAGCCAGGGTGGGGATTAAAAAAAACTAAAAATTACATCCTAAGGAGATGACGAGATATAGTTTTGTATCTGCTGAAATTTTCATGTTGTGATAGAATCGAACACGGATCTTTCATGTGAGTACATGATTAAAAATCTAAATATGAGGATAAAATCAATAGCTAAGTAGTAGTAAACTGTACACTTATAACTTGTCTAACACATCTGGGTTATCATTGAAACATATAGTTTTTCTATCCCAGTGGATATTTAAATACACAAGGGAGACGAATGCTCGTAGACTATGAGGCAGACCAAGAAGAATATGGAGAGATAATGTCCAGATGGACCTACAAACACTTGGTATCACCGGCTGGAGGGAGAAGGCCAACCAGAGAGATGAATGGAGGCGGGTGATATCTGCAGCAATGAACCTCAAGGGCTCAGAATGTTGAAGAAGAAGAAGTGGATATTTATGCTTATCAATTACCTTTGGTTATTTCATCTTGCTTAGCCGGTAATAATTTAACAAACTGTAGCAGTATACATTTTAACTTTTAATATATTCTGAGTATACTTTCTAAATAATTGTAATAAACATACTGTGTAATTAAAATGAAATTACAACCAATATTTGTGATAGTGTTAGATTTTTTATACAGAAACAGATTATGGCACTGGAAAACAAAACTAACCTACAATTATGATGGAAAACATATGTAGTCTACAAAATAACTAGTCTAAATAGATAAATATTTCAAAAACAAAGATAAATGGTGACAAACCTCATGAGATCACTGTAATTCTAATTTCTTAGGATATTTTATAACAAAATAAAATTAAACAGCCATAAATCATGTAGATATTTAAAAAACTGAGAAGGAAGGTGTGTTGAACAGTAATATTAAATTCTTTGTTTACAGCAACTCCTGAAATCTAAACATTGTGGAGTTTAAAGCAGTCTTAAAATCTAAACACTGTAGTGTAAAGCAATCTTGACATCTAAACATTGTGGAGTTTAAAGCAGTCTTGAAATCTAAACACTGTAGTGTAAAGCAGGCTTGATATCTTAACATTGTGGAGTTTAAAGCAGTCTTGAAATCTAAACACTGTAGTGTAAAGCAGGCTTGATATCTTAACATTGTGGAGTTTGAAGCAGTCTTGAAATCTATACACTGTAGTGTGAAGTAATCTTGACATCTAAACATTGTGGAGATTAAAGCAATTTTATTATCTAAACATAATGGAAATTAAAGCAGTCTTACAATCTAAACATTGTGGAGATTAAAGCAATTTTATTTTCTAAACATAATGGACATTAAAGCAGTCTTACAATCTAAACACTGTGGAGGTTAAAGCAAATTTTGATATCTAAACATTGTGGAGGTAAAAGCAGTCTTGAAATCTAAACACTGTAGTGTAAAGCAGTCTTGATATCTAAACATTGTGGAGTTTAAAGCAGTCTTGAAATATAAACATTACTACATAAAAAATTGATGCTGAAAATAATGGTTACTGCAGAAGAGATGATATTAAGAAGTAACCTAATACAGACTATGATCTGCAAGCTTAGTGAAGAGAAAGGAAAAGACATGCACAAATACAACATCCAGCTGTATGTATGCCTGACTTTTCCTTCCTCTGTTGAGTTTTCTAATCAAAGTTTGCTGTTTTAAGTTACTTACTATACTAAAAGTCTACAACATTTTATTTTTAAAGAGCATGCTAGCTGCATTTCTTATCTTGTTTTATAATGAAATAGCAGAGATAATATATTATATAAAATAACTGGTTTAAAAATTTTTTTAAAAACTATAGTCCTAACCATAAATCTTGGCAGGTATCTCTTTATCTCGTTGATTTCTAAGCATTTGTTACTGACAATAAAACACATTGTAATAAAAATCAATTTATGCAATGCATTAGAAAGAGCACATAAAAGATGTTTTCATCTACCCCAACACCTCAATGAGATAACTGGAGAAAGAGACTGAGACGGAGAGTAGGAGGAAGAAGAGAGGGAGGAGGAGAAGAAGAAGAAGTAACAAATGTTTAGACTGAGGCGCGATTAAACAAGAATGCCAAAAACTAACAAAAAATATTAAAGAAATGTTTAAGAAAGCATGGGGAACCATAACCGCAGTATTGGAAAAAAGTGTTTAGATGTGCGCATCAAGTAACATATTAAAGTGGGCAAGAGAACCTTTGCTCAAATGAACGAATGCAAAATAAAGTTCTGAGAAAAATTAGTATAAGTCTGGGCAAAGAATTGTAACCAAAAAGATAAATAAAAGTAATTGATCTTACCAATGGTTCCGATGACATCAGACTAAATAATCACATTCTTGAAAATGAAAAATGCAACAGCTTTACATACCTAGGGGGTAAGATGATATCTATAGGGGGGACTCATGGCCAGAAATATCCTATACAATCGCACTGGCATCTAGTGCTTTAACAAACTGTCAAACATCTGGAAGTCAAAGGCATTCAGCAAAAACATACAACTTAAGATCTTCAAATCTTGTGTGATTCCAGTACTAACTTTTGGATGCGAGGGTTGGAAAGCAGCTCTAAATACAAAAGAAAAAAATAGACAATTTTGAGAACAGATATGTTAGAATACTAAATCTCCATTGGACAGATTTCAGATACAGTACACAAATAAGACAAGAGACCGAGCAAGAGAATGTTTCCAATTTTATAAGAAAGCACCACTGGAACTACACTGGCCATCACTTAGAATAGACAAGACCAAACTCCTTCTTTAAGCTCTCATATGGACACTGGAAGGGAGCAGAAAACAGCGAAGACCAAGAGAGACCCTGCGCAGAATCATCATCAGGGAAGGCTCAACCATGGGCCTAATGAACATCCAAGACCTAAAACGGGTGGCAACAAACCACCAGACATGGAGAGCTATGACCTCTGCACTGCCCTAAGCTCAAGGGGAAAGACTAACTAATAACCAGGACAATTACTTTGACTGGATAAAAGGAAATTTCCACTGACCTGATAAAAGAAAATTTCCACTGACCTGATAAAAGGAAATTTCCACTGACCTGATAAAAGAAAATTTCCACTGACCTGATAAAAGGAAATTTCCACTGACCTGATAAAAGAAAATTTCCACTGACTCAAAAGAAGAAAATGTCCATGCAATTGCTAGACTGTAGACCATAGTTTAAAGCACATGGCTCTAAATTACTGATGAGCATGATATGGTTGTCCCTAATCATGAAGGGAAACTCAAATGCACCCCTCAGTGACAGAGGATGGGCAATGGATAAGACTGCCAGGTTTTTAGAGAGGATACTCACCTTATCCCCACATGCCGACATTTGCCACAAAGACAAGGCTACAAAAAATCTCTAATAGGGTCAATGCTGTGTTTATAGGAATACTTTTATGAGCAGTGAGAACAAATGTGAAATGGATGACTGACATATTCAGATAACCTACTAGTACTTGGACCGGACATGGTATGACAAGCTGCACAATATGGCAGATACAGAATGTATGTACAAACTGTACTGGAATTACATGAATAATAATAAAGGGGGGGGGGGGGGAACAGTAAAAATGAAGAGCAGAATAATCTAAAAATTAAAATGATAAAATTGCAGAAGCATAATAAGACAGAAGCTTGTACTACAACTGCCAATACAACATTTAATATATTCACTATATAAATTCTAATATGCACAAAACATTACCTAAAATGTTTAAATAACGACAATGTTAAAACCAAGAGGTCGGGTAGATTAGAGGTTACAGAGTCTGCCTCTGATTCAGGCAGACCAAGTTTGTTTCTTGCTGTTGACTGTATAGAATTGCACAGAATGGGGAAAGGAAGATGGCAGAATCCTTCTGATTATAAGAGTAGTGAATCAAATATCTAGCCTTCTCTGAAAAGGACAAAAGAAACTTGGAAGGCCCTTATTCCTGTATCTTTTGGCAGCTGGAAATAGAAAAGAGAAAGTAGCTAGGTAGTTGTACCCCACCAGGACATCACACAAGTGATAAACACCTGGTGACACAAAGTGCCACCAAGTGGATGAGGATCACCTGTGGAGAGGTCCCAGAAACCCCTCTCAGCCATTAGGCCATATCTATGCCCCGGCTATATTTAGGAGCCCCCGGCAGAAGAAAGAGTGGGGCTTTAAATAACAAACAAATTGCATCCCACATGGGGATGACTTGTATAAAGAAAAGAGAAGGCTGAATAACAATGCCCAGGAAGACGTTCAAATCAGAAAAGCAATGTACACAAATATGAATATGATAGCATGTGTAAATATGCAGGTGTACACACACTAGGATCCCTGTTGGAACAACACAGCTTACGTGCTGTCTAAGATTCCCCATGTGTGATGTATCTTAGAAACTGAAACACTTATGGAAATATCTGTGTACAATGAAAGTGACTCTTTACAAGCAATTTAGAGCTAAAATATTCTAAAAGTTCTTCTACTGATCCGTACAAGCTGTGCTCAATTAGCTTTTTAGTGAACATTTGTTGTTGTAGCCATTTTACATGGCTGTCACAGCACAGATAGAGGACTCAAAAGCCACTTTTCCTATTGCAGCCCAAATCTGTTCTTTGGGTATGTCTGTTTCACACATGTTGGCCAGCACACGAAGTTTTCTAAGCGCATAGTCATTCTGTAGATAAAAAGACAGATTTCAAGTTCAGTCAACCCATTTTAACAACCATATGAGCATGTGCTAAATATACAGAGTTTGTTAAAAAATGTACACACAGTAATCGCCCACTAGTGAAATGTATCTACATGTGCAGTATTTGCAGCCTTTGAATTTGATTTGATTTGATTCAAGAACTGACATCACAGCACTTGGGGCATTCCCATAAGCGCTCCGTCCCCATCTTCAGCAGCCAGTGGAGAGTTCCGATACTAATGGTGCCAGTAGCTTTCTGATTAAACGTCCGTCTTGCCTTTCCTCTTAGCCTCGAACTTCTGCTAGAACCTCTCGTCACCCCCAACTGCATCAATCTCACCAGACTGTGGTGATCCATCTGCTCCTCCGAATTGTACACGCTCTCCCACAAGGCACTAGCCATGTCTGCCCTATCATGTAGCAGTATTCCACCAAGTTGTGCAGAGCCAGCCATTCTGTCCGCCTGTTCATTTCCCAACACACCGGCGTAAACCGGTGAAAAAATCCAGACATTACTCCTCGCCCGTGTCCTCTACAGCGAAGCATGCCACTCTGCACGAAGCATACCTGTTCTGATCTTCCTCAGCATGCTTTCTCAATCAGTTACAATCACGATGTTTGTGTGTGTCGTATTCTCTAGCCAGCGGAAAGCTGCAGTGACCGCCTCCACCTCCATTCTTAAGCTGGATGTTGTGGTATCATATGCTAGGCTCTCCTGCACCAAACGTCGACCATTAACTTTTGCTAAAAAGCCCCAAGCACTTCTTTTGCCTCTTGAAACTGAACCGTCTGTGTAAATGATCAAATCCTCTGAGCGAGCATTATCTTGAATTAATTGCTGAATTTCCACCTCTGTGGCACCTGCTGGCCAGTCTCTGCATTCCCGGCTCAGCGTGATTATGACTCTACACAAGTCTGACTGGTCAGGTAGCACTTTGACCCACTCCTCTCCTCGCCTAATGTTCTCAAGGATGCAAACCTGTCTGATTGTGTCTTCTGCCTGAGGCATCCATGACCTCCCTCTTATCAGCCGCTGACCCTTAACAGCACCCAGAGCTTCATGCAGAGGGTTGTCTGTGTCTGCAGCTACCCTGAGATATGACTTCGCCTGCAGCACCTTGTGCCTACCTACAATCGTCGGCAAACCAAGGATGTATCGCATACACATCGAATATATTATGGCAGCAACCCATTGCATGGAGTTTTTAAAATAACAACCTGTATAAACACTACAATACTAAATTTATTAGGACATGAAGAGAACCATATACGCTACATGTGATGGATAAAGTTACTACAGGTGCTCAAAGTGATTCCCATTAGCCTTTTCATACCATCATACAACACACACACATGCTTTAAGGCATAAGGTAAAGTCACAACCAACAGCTCCAGAAATGCATTTAGGTGAAAATTGTCAAAACTGCGCTTAAATTGACTTTGGCATTGAGCCAACAAATTATGTTTATTGTATATTCTACACACAGTATGCATGGCAGAAGGTTCAAATTCACATCGACTCCTGACTATTTTTTTTTCTTTTAAAGTGATTTGGCTCCCATGTTCTTCTTTTTGTTTGTCTGAGTGACATAAATTCATTGTGCCAGTTTACAGCAGAACTGTGACATCTGTGCCTCTTGGCCGAAACATCCAGCTTCGTCGAGCATTTGTTGACCGGGTTAACTTCCCGAGGCTCCCAGGTCAATATAGCATACAATGGGTACCAGGTAAAGCCCTAGAGAGCAAAGGTGGTCGGTGTGATTGGTCAATAAAATATATGTCTAGCACTATATACCCAACATACTTAAGGGGTGTGGAAGATGGTCTTATACATTTTTTTTTTTAATATTAACTTTTGCAGGAAAGGATTTTCTTCTTCTGGTGTTCATCATCAATTTTGCGCCTAATTCTTGTTCCTGCAACACAACAAAGCTAAAACCTTCTTGAAGAAAATGTATTGGCTGTACAATGACATACAATATATCAAATTAGAGAGAAATGAATATACAAAATACCTAAACTATTTAAGTTTCGGCATTATAAGAATAAAATAATAAAATGACACACCATTCAGGGATGTTTGACACACATACACACATTAAGATTTCTTTTTACACCTAAAGTTTGGTACTTGCCATACCTTTTTTTTTTAAACCGATCAGCAAATAGTACCTATTTCTAAGAATTAAATGCCTTCTTTGTTCAATTATGCATCAGCTAGTTTTATTTGAAACAATTAATCTAAATACTTTGGATCTTACTACCGCTTTTTATTTGTATGACATGTCAAATTTCATGAACAACTGAATTCTGGACATAGCGGATCAAAACAGAGACAGTTGTGATTCAAATATTTTGTTCCACTCCATCCTAATCTATATTACTGGCACAAGTTTTTGGCACTTGCATTATTAATCATAAAATCTTTAATACTGTCATTATCTGGCTCAGATTCATCAACGACAGCAGTAATAAAGACAGTTTCATACCTTTTTCCTTATCATTTCATCTAGAAAATCACATAAAAATGGTATCCTCTGAATTAATCAAAAATAAATTGAAAATTAAACTAATTGCCTCATCATGTTTGGGAAACAATAATACTTCCTTTCACTAATTTTAGTTTTTCAAAACATGGTCATTCAAATTTATTTCCCTGGCATCCAAAACAATATTAGAGTGTCTATGTGCAAAGCCACTTAACTCGCGATACATCCAAACTTGAAGGATTCAAAAGCCACTAAAGTGGCGATATGTCCTCAAAGAGTTAACAGCCACAACAATACTGAATATTCGCTTAACCCTACCAGACCGCTGGCCCGGTTTTCCAGGAATTTCATAACTGTTCTCTATACCGCTGGCCCTAATTTTCGGCTATTTGCATAGTGAGTGAGAAAGATGCGTCACTGACTAAAAATAACCAACCAATCGTCATCAGTCCGCTTTGTTAGACATTGCAAATGGCTTCCCAGTGTGTGTGAATCAATTTTGTGTGTTTTAAAGTTTAAAAAATTCAGAAAATTCAGAATGAAGCGGGCGACTGATGAACCAAGTTCTAGGCTTTTTCACAGTATACCAGTTGATCGATACTTTGGTTCATTAGACTTTGTGAGATATATATATATATATATATATATATATTCATTATCTGTGATAATTTCATAATGAATACGTTCTTGAAGTGACACTGTCAGTGAGAGCGTGAATGATGAGGAAAATCTTGAAAATTATCAATCTTGAAATAGATCGATAGTAGGATGAGGGGGTGTGTCCATCAAACGGCAACATCTGGGGTTCACTTTGTGAAACAAAGTTGATCCTGATGAGTGAATTCTCACACAAAGGTGGAATATTGGTGCTATATAAAAGGTAAGCCTATTTTCTACAATGTCTCCAAGTTTCATCATATTCTAGCCACTCGTTTGCATGAAACTAATATTTTTGTATATCATGTTGGTTTTTTCGCGGTAATGCCCAGGGGCTCAGGTTATAGGGACAGTTAGGTTTCGGGTTTTAGGTCTGGTAGGGTTAATGATAAAGACTACTTTTATTTACTATCTGATTCAATTACATATCCTGACCATCTGAATGCTGTGCATGCGCAAAACAGCCAATAAGTTAACTATGCTTTCTCGTAAACATGTCAAATTGTAAAGCCAGTAAAGCGACTTCTTTGGGGAACTGGACCCAACTAGAAGTGTCAGTTTTGATGCTTCTCAGGTTAATAGAGTTAACTAAACTCATCTCAGCTTAAATTAGTAATAGATCTGTTTTCACATACCTGCACAAGTTTCATTCCTGGGCACAGTTCCTGAATCAGCCTAAGACTCTCTTTGTAACACTTGAAATCCGAGAATTTGATGGTGGCTCTCAGGAAAATGTCATACAAATCAAACTTGGTCATAAGAGCCACAAGTTTCTGGAAAAACTTCACAGTTTCCTGTTTTCTCTGCAATGTGTACATGTATTTGTTAACAACAAGACCTGACTTTATTAATGTGTAGATGTATTTGTTAACAAGGCCTGACTTTATCAATGTGTACATGTATTTGTTAACAACAACAAGACCTGACTTTATCAATGTGTACATGTATTTGTTAACAACAAGACCTTACCTTATCAATGTGTACATGTATTTGTTAACAACAAGACCTGACTTCATAAAGCGATAACAATTTGCAGGCATGTGTGTTATTACAAGCTCTATAATTACAGTCTACTGACAGTACATCAAACAAACAAGAAAATCTCTAACATATCAGGATCTCCATGGTGTCTTGTCTTGTCTTGTCCACAATTGCCTCACAGCGTAGTGGGGAGTCGCAGTTTTCTATCCTGGGCCAGGTGTGTTGCACGTGTTGTTGTTAGTCCGTGTTGCCTCAGGATCTCTGATATATTGTCTATCCATCGTCTGCCTCTTGCTCTAGGGCAGTAGTGCTGTTCGTTGTATGCTCGTAGAGGCAGTTGGTCGGTTTGCATTCACATCAAGTGGCCAAACCACTCTATTTGTTGCTTCTTTATGTATTGCAGGCATGGTGTGGTTCCTACAATTGCTCTAATGTTCTCGTTTCGAACTTTGTCTCTCCTTGTGACATTGGCAGCCTTACGTAAGCATCTCATTTCGCACGTCGTGATCTTCTTCTCCTGTGCTCTTGTTAGGGACCAGGTTTGGCATTGGTAGCAGAGGGTTGGTATAAACCTGCAATTTATCAGTTGTCGTTTTAGTGCAATAGTGATGCTTGGGTGTTTTAGCAGTGGGGAGAGTTGGTAAGTTACTGCGTTAGCCTTTTGACATCTTGCCTCAAGTTCCCTATCAATTCTTTCTCCATGGTGAAGTGCTTAAAATATTTAATCTTGTATAGAAAAGTATGGAATCAATCAAACAAGGACTACCACACTGCTTCATTGCCATGCATCTTTGTACTAACTTCGCAAACTTTGTTCATATTCTGCTGGAAAAAAAAAAAATTATGTGCTGCAAAAATAAACTGGGTCCGATTATTCACCATTAAACTCCAAATTGCATAAAACTAAACAGGAACTCCAAAACCAAATTTAGTTCATTATGAAAACTTGTCTAATGGTGTAAAAAAAAAAAAGTGATCACAGGAAGTCATGTTAAAGACTAGTTTTCTCCACAACTTAAAAATGAAGAAAACAAGAAAAAGTATTCTAAACAGAATATATCATATACATCTCACATAAATACTGAATGTTACAGAAAAGCCAAGAAGATGAAGAAAAAGAGAAGGTCTGAACATTGGAAGTCAAGGGGAAAAATATAATTGTTTTAAGAAAAATTTAACGAGGACATTAAAAAAACAAAATTTATAGTGGAACGATATTACAAAACAAAAGCTAAATATTAGCTTTTGGATCAACTGACATGATAAGCCATAAACCTATGTAGCTATAAATAATGAGAAACGATAAACATTAAATGGAATGAATTCGAGATGGTTGAAGAATCAGAGAACTGTCTAGTCAACCACTGGTATTCCCTGTTATACAACAATAAAGATGGCAATATATTTGGCATATCATGAGGAGAAACAGAGAATTCAGCATTGTAAATGTGAAACAAATGTACTGAGGAAATGAGATTATATGTAAGAGAAACCCTGAGAAAAACATTATTAAGAGAGGACAGGGTTACGGACCAGACTTCATTCATGATATCAAGCACAAGAGAGAACAGAATGGCAGTCTTGATTACAAGCTACTTATGTGATGTATCAGGTCTCAACAGAATGATGCCGAATGAGTCAAAAGTACAGCTTGTGAGACTGTATCTCTTTACCTGCAGCAAAGCCTGAAGAGCAGCCTTGTATTTGATTCCTTCAACACCAACAGCTTTCTCCATCTTTTTCTTCAAAATGTGCATTGAGACATCTTCAGATGGAACAGCATCTACCTGTACAGGTGACAGAAACAGGCATATTAGTAATACTTCACCCATTCTCTAACAAACCAAAGTCACTAAATATGTTCTCCTTAAACCAATGTCTTGACTCTAAAACTGTTGAATTCATAATATGTGTATTAAAAAATCAAAGTTTGTTGCATGTCTTTTATGGGATGTTGCAAAATCAACACCAGTATTTTGACTGCAAGTGACTTCACTAGGCAATGTTATTTTCGTTAGTTTGCCATTGTTTACAAGTCATCAAAGAACAACAAATGAAGTGGTTTGGGCACCTAACAAGAATGAACTGACACTATCTGACATAGCGAGCCACACTAAAACATTACAACTGGTATAGAGCGAGTGGAAGACCTCGGAAAAATGGAATTAAAAACAGCCTTACAGAAATGAACATCCCTCTTAATAGTGCTTTTGACAGAGCTCATCAACGAATGCTACATCTCCCACAGACACTTCACTGAGGGACAAGGTGGAAAAGAAGAAGAAGAAAAAGCCATTGTTTCTGAATGGTCACAGTTGAAAGTAACACAAGGAAGTCTGCTGGCAAAACCCTTGCAGCTCAGATCAAACCCAGAACTCTGGAGTTATGAAGCGTGTTTGCAACTCCTAAGACAAAGATGCAGACAATATGTATAAATGCTGACAATATGAAAGCTTAAAGCTGAACATCTGACATAAATGTCTTCTTGTTCTTCTTTCATTTGCTTGAAATAGGTTATCTATATCTGCAATGTTGTCTCTAGTATCAACTTCACTGTCTTTTGTAGACATAAATACTTCTTTTTTTAAACAGTGTTGTTTTGGTCATTTGATGCAAAGAAAAGATACTGGAAAAACAATGTGATGACTAAAAAGATCAGCCCCAGAAGAGGCAGAAACATATTGGTACTGCAGTTAGAGGTGTCAACTGTTTTCAGATATTCTAGGTGTTGAAATATGAGGGAAAGTGGCCAGTTTACCTTTGCATCTTTCCTTCACAGACAATTTTTAATAAATTTTGGTATCTATTCAAAGAAAACTAACCATGCTTACAAGGTAACAATTATGAAATATAAGCAACAGGCTGGTTTGCAAACTAGAGAAATAACAGACTGCCTAACATTTTAGTTTAAAAAAAAAAAAAGTAAATTATGGTAGTTCTTCTTCAACTTAGTATTTACAGGCTGCAAACTCTGGCAGAAAGTTCTGGTTGTTCGCCCACTTTCAGACTTAATTCTTGTTCCAGAATTTGAGTTTTATGTGCACAACCATTTTACAGATCCGGCTTAATTAAATGCACACTGTTGGTTCCTCGCCTTTCTGGCAGATGCACTCTGACTTTAAAGGAAACACCCATAATCAGTTGTCTTTTATGACACAGTTGTTAAGTTAGATAGGCAGTGGGTCTATACACCCCCAACTCCACCGTAAAATGAGCACACAGGGGGAAATTATGGTAGATGAATAGGCAGAACTAAGAAAATTATACTTTCTTCAGCAAAGAACAGAAAAAGCAGAATGAAACATGAATACCAGCACTTACCGTTGGGTGATATTTCAACATGGGGAAGAAGTTAAGTGACCTGGATGTCAAGTTTCCTTGGAAGTCAGCTACTTTTAAACCTCCCATTGTCTGGATAGGGAAAATAAGGACAAAATGATAACATTGGATATCCAATACTGACTATAAGGAAAAGATGCAATAAAGCAAGACTGTGATTTTTTCATGTACCTAGCTAAATAAAGAACATAACTATAATTTTGCCATCTATTTACCATTTATGACAGTGTTTCCCAAACCTTTCTTAGTCGCAGGGCCTTTTTTAAATTAACATTTTTCCACGGCGCCCTAACCTAAGTAAAAGTATGCCTATTCGTATGTAAGAGATAGGAAACAAAAATAAAACTTGTGTATCTTCAAATATTTCACAGTGCCCCTGTGAAGAGGTTGCGGCTCCCTGGCGCACAGTTTGGTAATCACTGGTTTATGATGTTCAGCAAATACTTTGTGAGAGGAAAAATGAAGCCATATTCTGAGCAGAGCATTTTTTTTTATTTACTTTCATTGCTTTTTTCTTTAACAAGTGTTCTGTTAAACCAGATCCAGACAGTCATCAAGTGCCATGCCAACTGTCACCAGCAACCATTCTTCACATCCTGTGATCAATTAAATGGATTAATTTATATCTTGACAGTTTTATATGCCAGGAAATTAAAAGGCCATCAAGAATCTTTTTCTTCTTTGTGTTCATTGGCTGTAAACTCCAGTGGAAAGTTCTGGTTGCTTATCCACCTCCAGACTTTAGTCTTGTTCCAGCCTTATGTTGCGAGCACATCTGTTTTACAGATCTGTCATATTTGTATGTAGACAGCTGGTTCCTTGCTTCCCAAACAGATGCACTCTTTAGATGTACTCGAAGGATGCCCTCCATATAGTCAACTCCTACAACATGCTTTTTGGGGAGGCAGTGAATCAGAAATCTTAATACTTTTTATTTCTATTACTACATATCTTTTAAGATGCCAAATATGTTTCATTTTATTTTCTTTTTATGTAGTCAATCATGACTGCCTTCTTTAAGATATTTATGATAAGTTGTGTTTGTGTTTCAATTATTTTAGCTCCAGCAGGTCGTACTTTATCCCCAAGGAGGTCAAAAAATGACATCAGACTTCAAGGTGCACCACTTTCATACAGAAGCACTGAAACATGGGGACTCTCATTAATATTACTGAGCACTCAAAAAGGGCTTTAGTCCTTGCCCTCACCCTTCTGCAAATTATAAGGGGACTGTCATGAACTCATGTCCTTTCCTAACATTCACACCCATTCCGTCCCTGTTGTCGTTGACACATTTGTTACCATACATTGTCTGCATTCTTCAAGAAATATACACAGATCAACTTCCTTCACATCAAAGAAACTGAATAAACACTCTTTGAACTTCTCTGTGTGGAATTTGGATCAACTCTGCCATTTTCTCAATGGTTGGAAATAGAACCTAGGCATCATGGGACGAAAAGCATGTGCTCTTTTATATGGTTCTGTTGGTCAGTACTTATCACATGATCATGCTCAACGCACACAATTACATGCAGTATGGCTCAAAAGGCTTTTTAATTAACGCTCCTAAAACTGTCATCAGCACTTTTGAAGTATTTATACTCCATGCTATGCTAGCTCTAGTCTATTCTTAACCACAAATCTTGTTTTGCACTTACCAAGTCCCCATACTCTGTGACATGACTTGTATTAGTTTCAGTTCGCACAATTTTGAACTGTTTCTGTAGAGTCTCTTGTGAGAGGTTTTCCTACAATTACAAAAAGGATAATGTACATCTGATTCTCAGATCTGACCTGTAGTAATGATGAGACATAAACAATAAGTAGGAAAAAACAACTTTCTGGCTGCAGAAACATGGTTTTGGAGAACAAAGCAAAGAATACCATGGAGTGATAGAAAAACATATGAGGTAGTTCTCTTCATGACAAATAAAAATCACAATTGATTAGAGACAATCATAAGACACAGTCGGTTGGAAATCATATGTCTGAGAATGGCTGCAGGAGTGACCAGAAAAGATCAAATAAGAAAAGAGGTCATGAGAGAAAAGGCTGGCATAGAACCAATTTTAAATAATATACAAAGATAGAAAATCAAATGATTTGCCCACTTAGAAAAAAAGCATTGTGATGCCATACCATATAAGGTATACACTAAAAGAGGAAAAAGAGATCATGAGGTAGACCAAGAAATGGAAAGATAACATCAGACAGCCTCTAATACAGTATGATATGTCTACGGCTGAAGCAGCCAGAAGAGCAAGAAGCAGAACCTCATATCCCCCTCAACACCCAAAGCGGTAAAAGAGAAAGCAATGAAGAATAACATACAGTAAATTCGTCAGTAGGTCAAAATGCACTTAAGATACTTCTTATTCTTCGCATTCACTGGCTGCAAATGCCGCACGGAACTCACACAGGAAATATAAATTTCAGTATATAATCCCAACCTTAAATGATGAATGCAGAAAAATAATATCCATAATCATAAAATCTGTTGAATTAACATAAAATCTTTGCAATATTAACTCTTTCAGTCCCAGGGGTTTAGCATCAGAGGCCCAAAAGGCGGTAAAGAGAGAAATAAAATTGGGGCATCTGATGTTCATTTGACTTTTGGGTAGAAACCTATGAACATATGATGCGTTCTTTGGGAGTGAAAAAGTTAAACAGCCAAAAATAATTGACAAACATAAATATCCAACATCGGAAAGGACAAAAGCTATATGTCCCAATTATAATCCAGAAGAGTTGAACAGAATATCACTGATTCAATGACTATACTACCAGTGTTCTGTCTGAATTGTGTCTGTTAGTTTTCACAATTATTTGTAAAGTACACTCATAAAATATTATATTGTAATTTATATTGATATGATCTGTTGTAATTAACATGATCTATGCAATACTAAATAGATAGAAGTATCAAAAACAAAAGACAGATATCCAATATCAGAAAGGAAAAAAATGCAATATATTCCAATTATAACTCAGAAGTGATTAACATGATATTATTAATTAAACTGCTATCAGTGTTCTGCCTAAACAACTTGATTTGACTGATGCTGCAAACTTGCATGGGTTCTGGGTCATACTTTGGGGGAAAAAAAAAGAGTAATACCCCCCCCTTCCCCCCCCCCCCCCCCCACACACACACAACAGGTAACCAATTAAGGGTTTGCTGAAATGGGATGTGTTCAGCCAAAGGGTACAGATATCACAGCCTGGCTTTTTTTTTCTTTTTAGGGTGAACATAGAAACAGAAAAGCTGACACTGCAAATACCTTGTCAGAATCCTCCATCCACATAACACTGTACACATCTCCGAGGTATGTGCTTCTGGCCTCATCAAAGTAGCAGGCATAGGAGGATTCATCAGGATTGGCGGCAGTTGTTGCAAAGACTGAAAAATAACAAACTGCTGATTGAAAATGCAGGATAGGTAACAGCACTTCATGATATTGTTGGCAGTAAAACAAAGCAAACTTAGTGTAGTTTTGGAGATTTTCACTTAAGTACATTTTCAGGGGTTGTTATTTGTCACTTTACAATTTAAACAATGTGGACACAAACAATACATTACTCAATTTATTGCCAGATACATTTTGCAGTAACTTATCAGGTGCGTTACTACTGAGTTACATCAACATATAATGAAGAACAAAATCTAAATAAATTCCAATTTACTGACCAAAACAATAATAAATTCCATAGAGTAAACATTAAACATTAAACATAAATGCAAAAGAGAATTATATGGGTAAAAATTCAATGAATCAAAAATTAATATTTTTTATGACTTATTTGTTACCCTGTTACCTGATCGCAGATTAACACAGTAACCAATGAGAAAATTACGTCATAATTTATATTAATAAGCCATTTGGTCACATGAAAACCCCTCTAGATGCTGATTTTAGTAAATGTAGTCATGCCAGGCCCTTCTAAACATGTACAACAAGCTGGATGTTGTGAGCGCCCTTTGGAAGCGAGTGAGCAGCGCAGAGGCACAAAGAGATCATTACAGTTTGAGAAGAATGGTACGGCGGGGAGTTACCAGGGGATGTGGCCGATGCTCAACACTCAAGGGAAAGGTGAGACGGATATACAATCAGACAGTTACTGGTGCCATCAGAATTGAAACACTGCTGAAGACTGGGAGGAGCGCTTATGGGAGTGTTCCAAGTGCTATGTTGATTCTCAACTCAACTTTTAGCACTCAACATTCTAAACATGTGCACAGGTGCAAACTATTAGTTCTGTTAACTAGATGTCTCAGAAACAGGCCACTATAGCCAAGTCAGAAAAGTGACTAACTTTAGCAACCGGACCCAGTCAGAAGTGTCGGTTTTGTGACTTCTTGCGGCGACAGTGTTAATGTGTAGTTTCTACTGCAGATTTAGCTGACATTTATTTTTATTAATATTAAACAACAGTCACATGGTTCATGTGCTCACAGCTTTCATAAATAATTTGCATCACTATATATGGCATTGTATATGATAAAAACAACATAGCATGTAAGGTATAGATTGAACCAAACATTAACTTCCAGATTTGTACTGACCACTAAAATATGTTTATGAAACTTCACTGAAAGAAATTTAAAAGAATTCACTGCACTTCAAATTCTTATCACTAAAGATCACTGCTGGTTTGAAAACTACATCATCATCAGTCATCAATCAGATGCCATCTCCACAATGAAGTTGGCTGCAATGGATCTCCAACACGTTCTGTCTCTTGTCTTGGTTGTACACTCAGCTAGACTACTGTTTATCCATCTCTGGATGTTGTTCTCCCAACTGTATAACTATCTATCCTTTGCTCTCCTGCCCTTCCCACCCCAGCATTGTTTTTAAAGGAGTGTTTTTTTCTTCTTTTTTTTTAGTCAGCATCTGTGGTTGGGGTACCGGGTTCAATCCCAGCTGCGGACGATTTTTCTTTGTTGGTTTCTACAGTGGTACCAAGAGCTGACCGTTGAGGAAGCAATGCCAAACTACTGAACATAAAATTTGCCTAGAAAGAAAAAATACAGCCCAAAAGTCCAGGGGTTGGTTCTGCAACATCCTGTAAAGGATATGCAACTAACTATATGTCTTTTAATGTGGCCAAAACTTTTCAATTGTCTCCTTTGTATTTATTTCAGTAATTCCCTTTTCATTTGTAGTTTTTCCAGAACCTCTGTATTGGACTGATTTTGTCTCCATGAAATTTGACCTATTCTTCTGTATAACCATTTCCAGAGACTCATTTAGATTTTTTAGTTGCTTGTTCATTGTCCGAGTTTCTGCATCATACAAAAATTTTGAGTATACACAAGTTAAAAAAAAAGTAAAGACCCTTTTCCACGCCTTTAGGCCTACAGGGCATATAGGGTTAGACCTATATTTTTATAGACCATTCGGCACAAGATGGGTGATGTGGTCAGCATCACGCCGGCCACCTTTACTTCCTGGGACTGCACCCGGTACCCACTCAAGGCTAGGTCGACCTGGGAGCCAAGGTCATTTTTGAAAATAGTCCGGTTTGAGTATACATATCATCTGACAATTCTCATTTTCAATGTGTTGTTTATCTCTGTAGATGTGAATAATTATGGCATTTTACTGAAGAGATATTTTGCCATACCTAATCTCTTTTTGATTTCTGTTCCACTTCTACTGTAATCTGTTATTATCTGTTAAAGATAGGAGAAAACTGTTAATTGTTCTAAAATCTCTTAATTTACTGTGAGTTTCTGGCTGGTCATTGACAACTACATTACTTTTCAAATAAAAACCAAGATAAACTCCCACAAACAGGTGAGTTGCAAGCAAATTAAATTGAAAAGACAGTACCTATGGGGATGATATGTAAAAAAGGTTATTACAATGCCCCTGACTGTATAAACAGCAACAGTTGTGTGGCCACAATGTTCAGCCAAAAAGAAATGTAAACTTTAAACTCACCATTAATATCAGCTTCCAGAAGGCCATCAAACATAGATCCTGATTCACAAGCTTCAACATAGAACACCATCTGTATGTTTGAAAGTTAAATTAAAGTTAAATTATTTATGTTCTAAGTATATGAAGTTTTAATCTGTAATAGATTACTACATGGACCACAAACAGCCATGTCTATCCACAACCTTCTGTCTCATGTACTTTCAATCAAGTCTGACACGATGATCCTCTTTGTCATGATGTCAAACTGTCCAGCATCTTTTCTCTCAGACTCCCTCTGCCTTTCCTTCCCTTTAACTTTCCTACTGTCACAATGTACTCCAGTTGTCTCCTTTTCGTCACATGATCAAAGAATATAGATTATCTATTTCTGGTGTGGGCAATCAGTTCTCTTCGTGAGTCAGTTTCTTTCAAGATATCTTTATTGCTCTTTTTTTCTGTCCAGATTATTCTCAGTATTCCATTAAAAAAAACTACAAAATGCTGTCAAGAATCTTCTTGCGCTCTCTTCCTCTCTCTTTCCAGTGGTCACAAAATGTTCCAGTTTCCTTCTTCTCATAACATGACAACAACAGAATGATAACTGTCTATTTTTAATCTGAAATCTGATTCTCATCTGATACACAGAGGAAATAATCACCATGAATCAGGTTACATCTTCATTCACATCAAAGTTGGCTGCAAATAATCTCCAACACTCTGTCTCACATCCTTGCTGCAAACTCTCTCAGACCGCTGTTTGTCCATTTCTTGATGTCATCCTTTCACCTTGTTTTGCTGTCTACCTCATACTAGCTTTATTTCAGCTTTTTCCAGTAGTGGGGTTTTAATAATTGTTATGTTGTTTTAATGTAGCTGAAATATTTAACTTGTCTTTTTTTGTCTTAATTACTCTTCAGAACCTCTGAATTCCTAATATGCTTCCAAGACCATCTTTGGTGGAGGGGAGGGGAGATAACAGACCCACTTGCTCTTGAACAAACAAACAAAAGTTTACAAGATGTTGCAGAATCAACCCCATTATTTTTTGGCTGTTTAGGTCTGAGGAGAATGGCCCTGCAAGGAGTTACCAGGGGATCTGGCCGATGCTCAACACTCAGGGAAAGGATGAGACATATATACAATCAGACGGTTACTGGCACCATCCGAACTGGAACTCTTTGCTTGCTGCTGAAGATTGGGACTGGGCACTTATGGGAGTGTCCCGAGTGCTGTGATGTCAATTCTTAATTCAACATTTCTGGTTGTTGTGGTTTTCTAGGCAAATTTATGTTCAGTAGTTTGCCACTGCTTTCTGAATGTTCAACTGTTGATACCACTGTTGATACCAATGCAAGACAGTCTGCTGCCAAACTGCCTCCAGCTCAAGTCAAACCTAGCACCCCGACATTGCAAAGCCTGTTCAAAATGCCAAAGCCACAGAGGCCGACAACAAGCATGCTGAAAAAGGTAAATAATTAGGGTTTTGCTAAAATCTGATGTGAGCTGTAAGGTGAGTATATTGCAATCTAACTGTAAACCAGAAAACAATGTGCCAGCTGCCTTTCATGGGCCAATACAGAAGAAGAAGAAAAAAGAAGACAAAGAATAAGATGAAGAAGAAGTAGGAGCAGGAGAAGAAGAAGTAGAGGGAGAAGAAGAAGAAGAAGAAGAAGTAGGAGCAGGAGAAGAAGAAGAAGCAGCAGCAGCAGGTCTGTATTTGACTGCCCCCCCCCCCCACCCCCCAGTGAAATATGACCCATTTTATTATTTTTGTTTCCATGAAATATATAACCTATTCCACTGTATACTCACATCTCAAGAGACTTAATTTGACTACAGCATATGAGGCTCTGTAGAAAAAATTGTTTTAGCCTGATGAAAGGGATTATTGAGAAAGAAAACAGGAGGAGGAAACAATCAAACATTTTGACCAGAGTCTTTGTCAACAAGTAACACGGTAAGCAGAGGAATCCTGAACATCACAAGAAACATAACAGAAATATAGAAAGTAAGAAAATAGAGTTGCTGTGAAATTAAAAATAAAGGGGCAAACTTTATAAAGATGATAATAATCATGATAATAATAAAGGCAACTTGAAATCAAAATATAATAAAATAGTCAAGTCAAGGTGTGATGATCACTGATCCTGCTGGCTCTAGAACACTATGAATGATGAGATTTTCCAAATAGAAAGAACTGATTTGATCACGAGTGCAAGACTTTATTAGGGTGACAGAAATACTGGTGTTGCGTATAGCTTATGTTAGAGAATTCTTTTTCTAATATATGGTCTCCCTGACTTATGATCGAGCTCCGTTCCGACTATTAGGTCATAAGTAAATCTAGTCATAAGTTTGAATTTATAATTTTCAACACTATTTTTATTCAAACGGATGTTTTTTAAAGTTGTGCATAAAACACATAAATGCAAACTATGTTTGTATAATTAGAACCTGCTGTGATATTGGCATCAGTTCTGAGAAGCCTTTGAATCTACCAATGTAGTTATCTTTCTTTTAAAAAAAAGAATTTTACACTATTATTATTTACTTTTTTTGGGTTGTAAATGTGGACGATCATATGTAATAAGAAAAGGTAGACCAGCTCAACAGCTGCCCCCACTATTTTCAATACTTGTAGCCACTACACTATCATGACCCTCAAGGACTGTGCAATACCTCAAGAGGACAGAGCATGTGTAGGATGTGTCAGTGATGTCACTTCTTGCATTAGTTACTCCCCGTGTGGGGTCCGGTGCCCCATTGTGGAGAAAACAAGAATAGACCCACTGCCTCCCCAACAAGCATGTCGTGTCATAACTGGGGACTTCCTTCGATGGAAGCAGTGCATCTGCCTGAGAGACAGGGGGCCGAAAATCTGCAAACAAATAAATAGATCTGTAAAACAAGCTCTGCAACAAGACTCTTGTCCAAAAGTGGATGAACAACCATAACTTTCTGCTGCAGTTTACAGCCAGTGAATGTGAAGAAGAAGAAGAATTGAGAACAAACTAACAGTTCACTCACTTGCTTGTACTGTTTGTTCTTGTACATAGACTTGATTGCTTTGTTGAGATCATCTGCATGAAGCTAACCACAATAAAAACAAAAATAGTTTCAGGCAACTTTTACAAAACGCTTTCTACTTTAATATAAATATTACATATTTTTCTAAGTGTAGTTTTAGATTTTTTTTCTCAATGTTTTTGCAGTAAGCTAGCTTACATAAGCAACAAATGCCTGAAGAATTCAGATATGCCACAAACTGACAGGTGCAACATCTGTGCTGACAGGTGCAACATCTGTGCTGACAGGTGCAACATCTGTGCTGACAGGTGCAACATTTGTGCTGATAGGTGCAACATCTGTGCTGACAGGTGCAACATCTGTGCTGACATGTGCAACATTTGTCCTGACAGGTGCAAATATCACAGCTATGCTGCAAACAGGCACACAGTGAAATTAAATCCTGTTTTTTACTCTAACACTGCAAACTGGCAGTGATCATGTCTATAACTTTAAAAATATATGAATTTACAATGCTCATTTTAAAAAAAAAGTGTATGCCAGGTGTGCTCTTACTATATAAGAAATACAATCATCAGGATATGACTGATACATACAAATAATATTGTGCATTTGTGATGACCTGTAACACTTCTGCCCAAAAATAATTTTCTACAGTAAGATACAAAAAAGGTAAACTCTCTCAAGGTGAATGGAAGAAATGTTTCAAGGACAAACTCAAGACCTATCTGAAAGACACCCGTACTGATCCTAAAACCTGGGAAGTTGCTGCATGTGACCGCTAATCCTGGCACTCCTCTCTTCATCAAGGAGTTGTGGCCCATGAAGCTGCCAGATCCGCAGCAGCAATTAAGAAAATTCAAGCCATGAAAGACACTAAAGCAAATCACTAGAGAGATGCAGCCTCAATTCCCTGTCTACACCGCTCAAGAACTTTCAGAGCTAGAATTGGTTTTATCAGCCATCTGCGCACTCATAAAATCAAATCCAGTCACCACTGGATGAAAGGACTGGACATCATCACCTGTGATGGACTAAATACAAAAAAAACGACACATCTCATAAGGAATTTAACTTCATGACTTTGTGCCTTCTTTTATTATTTTATAGCATAACTAATTGTGTAATGAATGTGTCCATCCTTTTCTTACCATTTCACTGGGGAATGCTAGAATGCCTGGAGCACCATGGTCTGCAAAATTGACAAATACACGATCATCTGGTCCACTGTGAATAAAATATAGTCGACATGTGACATTTACTACTGAATATCACAAACTTATCAAAAAGGTAATACAATAAAACCTTGTTAACTCTTTAAGTACTTGGAAATTTAGCTGAACATTACAAGGTAACAATAATCACAGTGTGTGTAAACATGGTGTTAAAGGGTCATTATCAGGTAGCAGGTCCTTTGCAGAACGTCGCTCTCATCACAGCCTGCCTGAAAGAAATTCAGTCTCTCGCCAGCTCTCCTCATGCGCTTTCATTTTCAAGTAGTCACTTATATCCTTTGCCAATCTTCATGTTGGTCGGCCCCTGCCTCTCCTTTCTGGTACCATGACTTCTTATTTTTTTCTTATTCTACAATGCCGCTTGATATGACCAAAATAGTCAGCTTTCGAGACAAGATGCTGTTTATTAGCAAATCTTTCTTGGAATTCAGATCTTAAAAAATTCAGTATTTGTGAGAGGGTAACTGTCACAGATACAGCAATTCCTTTACCGGGTTGAGTATTAAAATAACTGACATCTTGAAGTGAATGCCTGAGCGGCAAAAAGCAATCAACTGCACACAAATAATCCAGAAAAACAGATGTTCATGCAAAACTCAGGCCTTGGCACAAAGCCAAAGTCCAAATGAATGAATAGCCATGGCTTTCCACTAAAGCTTACAGTCAGTGAACACAGAAGAAGAAGAATAACTAACCAGGTTTCTATAGTATGGGTATGCTAAACAGAAGTCACATTGTTTACTGTCTGGTACACATGGCAAATACGTGATCACACATGAAGTGTTGGTTGGGAATGAAAGAGTTAGCACAAACCTGCTTAAGAAGAACACATGGTGAGCATGAACAAAATCCTGGGCCCTTTGGCTTGGCTTGCTTTGTAAAAAAAAACTTTTTAAATTGTCATGTTCAACCAGTATCTTGAAGGGAGAGATTTTGGTTATAATTGTGACTAGGTTATGTGCGCCATATAAAATTGGGCAGCACTGCCTGGCACCAAATAGCCCTTGAAAAAACTGTTGCAGTTTTAATGTCAAAGGAGACAATGTCATCTACCAGCCAGTCAATGGATGATCCGGCCCCCAACGATTTTGGTTCCTGATGGGGTGATTATTATTAGTCACAGGTGAGCATGCATTTTTTTTAACATGGACTTGGTTTTTTTTTGGTCCTTTGGAATTTGTGTTAACAATGTTTTACTGTATTTGTATCTACTGAATAGCATCACATGATAACAGCGCTTTACTAAAAGAACAATCTTGAGTATTTGAAATTACAGATCTTTCATTCAAATGAGTTGACAACCAAAATTCTTTTGATCTTCCAGAAAATGTTTTTGTTTTAAAGAACTGTGATTTTAGGGAACTTTTTTGGTAAATATTTGAAAGTACTGGGTGTGCTTCTAAGATACTGTTGTGTTTTTAAGGAATTTGTACTTTTAAAATTAACAAAATCTGTGTTTTCAAGGAACTGTGTGTAGTTTTAAAGAACTGTGTTGGCTTACAGACCTGTATGAATGTTTTTAAGGAAAAGTGTATAGTTTTAAAGAACTGTGTCGGTTTACAGATCTGTATGAATGTTTTAAGGAGCTGTGTGTTTTTAAGGAAAAGTATTAATGCACTTTGTGTCATTTACAGGAACTCTTTGAGTCATTTTTAGTTTACATTTAGTGTTTTATTTATGTCTCTAATTTTCCTCTGCACATATTTTCACTCCTTTTTAATTAATGTTCACTCATCTGTAACTTGAATACCTTATGTACCACTGATGTCCTATTTTACCTTATATAACTCATGAAGACCCAAAGACAATTACTCTAAAGTACAAAAACTGCAGAACAAAAAGCAATTAAGTTACAAGTTCACTGAATGATGAGAAGTAGGCAGATGTATGGTTTCCTCGCTGCTTCTTCTTGTTCTTGTTCTTCCTTTTCTTCTTCTTCTGCTTCTTATTCTTCTTCTCTTTCTTTTCTTCTTCTTTTTCTTCTCCTTCTTCTTCTTTTTCTTCTTCTTCTCCTTCTTCTTTTTCTTCTCCTTCTTCTTCTTTTTCTTCTTCTTCTCCTTCTTCTTTTTCTTCTTCTTCGTCTTCTTCTTTCTCGACTTCTTCTTTTTCTTTTTCTTCTTTTTCTTTTTCTTCTTCTTCTTTTTCTCCTCCTCCTCGTCAACCACTACGACTTCATCCTCCTTCTTCTTCATCATTATCCGCTTCTTCTTAAGAAGTGAAAGTGTTACAAATCATAAGCATTTTATTTTTACCTTTTAATTACTTTGCCTTCCCTGCCAAGCAAATTTTTTATCCCCTCAGAATCCCCGGTCAAAACTTTGAGAAAGACTGCAGGTGTAACATCCTGTAACAGACAAACATTTCTTCATTTTTTAATTCTGACAGTACAACAAACTCCTTTACCATATTGTTCCCATGTATAATCTGTCCCCATGTATAAGATGTCCCTCTTTTTTTTTTTTTAAGACATAAATATTTTACAAATATTTTGTGTATAAGAATTTTTTTTTAATTTAAAAATTTTAAACAAGAACAATTTGGAAAACATACTGCCTTATACACAGAACCATACAGTGAATGTCCTTAAAAATCTGGCATTTTTATATGACTATTGAAAAACTGTTTATGCATTGTTAAGTTTTTAACTGGGCAGTTCTTCCAAACTGTTATAAGTTAACTGAGGTTTAAGAAAGAAATAAGAATACTTAAACAGTATAACCAGACAAAACTGAACAAGGAAAGTAAACAGCCTTTGTCAGAAGTCTTCTTCTTCTGTGTTCAGGCGAAAAATCCTGGTTGTTTGTCCATTTGGATTTTGCCTTTGGGCCAGGCCTGAGTTTTTCATGTACATCCATTTTACTGACTTATTTGTGTGCAGCTGGTTGTTCCTTGCCACTCGGGCAGATGCTCTCTAACTGCGAAGGAAGCTCCCAATTAGTCACTCCTATGATATGCTTATTGGGGAAGTAGTGGGTCTATTCCTGTTTTCCCCACAAGGGGCCCCGAAACCCAAATGAGGATTTGAAAGGCGTGACTGTGAAGCTCTTTGGAAATTGATGGGAATTATATGAAGAATAAGTTATGCATCCTTCAGAGGATACAGCATTTGTTGGCTGTTTGTGGTTTTACTAGGCCATTTTACATTCAGTAGTTAACCATTATCTGAAAGGTCGGCTCTTCTTATCAATACTGAAATCAATGCAAAGTGTTCTGTTAACAAATCATATGCAGCCGAAACAAACAGGGTATTTTGTAATTACAAACCATGACCGTAACTTCAAAAAAACTTTAGGTTCTTATAAAAGATTATTTAGTAATAAATATTCTTCTTCTTCCATTTCACTTTCTCTTTTACTGCTTTGGGTCTCAAGGGAGATAGAAGGTTCTGCTACTTGCTCTTCTACCTGCCCTGAATATAGACACATCATGCTGTTATAGAGTATCTCTGATGTTATCTTTCCACATTGTTCTTGGTCTACCCTGAGCTCTACACCCTTCTCCCCTATTGGTGTATGCCTTGTATGGTATATCAGCGCTACTCAGACATCTCATTTAATTGTGAGCGCTGACCATGGAAAGATATGCAGAATAGCTTTCTTTTAGTTTTTATGAAAGGTGGTCAGTTTTGCATTTGCTCCACATATCATTGGACTGGAGTCAGGATAGACTTCACACAACAGAAATGACCTGAGAGTGGGTTTTCCATTCATGACCAATAAAAATCTGCCACACAAAAATTCTTTAGGCATTTCATGTAGAATATTTGGGAGTCTTCCCCGTTGCATTCTGCGTTGGATATTTGAAATCAGTCTATTGACAATTTAATTATGTGTATAAAGATATGATGAGTGCCGATCAATACCTTGCCTGTTTGTTTATTACGCTAAATATGAATTTGAAGGAAACATCCTTAATGAGTCACCTTTGACGACATTCTTGTTAGGGGGGCCAGTGAGTCTATTCTATTTGTCCCCACAATGGGGCCACAAAACCAACATGCGAAGTCTTATGATAATGATTTCAGAAACATGATTTTATTTTACATTTCTTTAAATCTGTTTAAAGTATATTATTTCTACTGCTCCAATATTCCTAGCTGTTTTAGAGTAATATTTTGGCAAAACTTAAAAACGGTGACCCTAAGGGACACAATCTATTCTAAGTTGGTAATACTTTAAATATAAACCCTAGGGGACACAATCCACCTAACTGAGGTTAGGGTTCGGGTTAGGGTGAATCCTAACCACAACCTAACGTGTAACCTGAATCAATTTTAAATATTACAGAATATTATTATGTAAACGTACACATTCAATGGATTGTGTCCCTTGTGATCATCATAAACAAACAACAGGTTGCATCCCCTAGGGTTGCCGTTTGAATTATTGCCAATATTTTCTTCTTCTTCTTCATACAATTGAGGATGGAACTTTGTTGTGCCTATTTATAACATGGCAAAGGCTGCAATATTTGCACCTTTCAGCCAAAATCTCTGTATTCAGGCATTAGTTGCTCAGGTTAGTTTTCCCACTACAACAGACCATATATGAATTATAACTATCAGATATTGTGTACTTGATACCATCCCAATATGGAACGCATTTTTTCGTTATTTCAAAGACCCACTCCAGCTGTTGTCAGGGCCCCTAATATAACCTAACAGTTGAAAAGAGTTTCTGGGACATGTGCCTGGGTGATACTTTATCTAAACAGTGGCACTTTGTGTCACTGAGTGTTTATCCCTTAGTGTGTGGGCCTGGTGGGGTTGAACTTCATTCATCAGATATTGTGTTTCTTAGCGGATACTAACACAACACAGACAATTTAGAATAAAGATGGAACCAGTGTTAGGGAATCAAAACAAGGTGAATCAGGTGCATAGCCAGCGAGCTACAGGAACAATGAAAACCCACACATTGCCACATATGTGAAGGACTGAGCAATCACTGAAGCTGCGTGCAGTGATGTAATATTAGATCAACAATGATAGTAGCACAAGACCTCACCTCTCCAATGTAGTCTTTAGGCACTCCTGGATAAACATTGGGTCCACCTGGCTTATTTATGACATTACCTGGGAAAGGATTGCTGGAATGGAAAAATAAAAGCACAATTTTGTTTTCATTAACTTATCCCTCCTACCTATATATATATATATATATATATATATATATATATATATATATATATATATATATATATATATATATATAAAGAATCATTAGTCACCCCTTTGCAACATGCTTAGCAGGTTACAGTGTTATTCTGCTTTCTTATGGGCCCCAGTAACTCTGAATGCTTCCCCTACTGCACAAAATAAAAATATATGATTCTAATCAAGTTGAGCGACCCACAATGAGAGTGACTTCCCTTCCCATTGATGCCTCAATCTGGTGTAGGGCCTGCACTATGTCGCAGGGTTGTATCCTAGGTCGCACGACTATATGCAGCACATAATAGAGGCTGCATACAGTCATGGGACATAGGCTGAGGCTGTGGAGTAGGAGTGGTTGGAGTCTTCTCTTCTTCTATTATCCGACTGCTTATGCGGTAATGCATCACAGCGAGGAGTTTAAAGTAGTTTCCTGTCTTTTGCTAGTTGCACAACTTGTGTTAATGTCACAGTGCGCTTCTGCAGAGTATCTTTTACCCCCTCCACCCATCTCATTTTTTGGTCAGCCTTGCCTCATAACCTGCTGTTTTTAAAAAGTTCTAGCCGCTGGTTGATTTTGTTCTGTTCTGACAACACAACCAAACTAATCGATTCTTTGATGTTCTACCAAAACTTTCACCAGTACTGTGCCTACCATTTTTCTTAATTCTTCACTGGTGATTGTCTCTTCATAATTTCTAATTATTATGAGGGCATTTATACGTGACTTTTACAAATGTAGGTGTTTTTAATTATTATTCTGTGTAATTTTCATCGACTAGCTTTTACATGTACTGTTCACTTCACAATAAAATCTCATTTGCTTTTTTGTTTTTCTTTATCCATAAAGCAGGATTGCTGTCTGCCAGATTACTGCACTTATATAAACTTCATACTACAAAGTGTCTGTACAAGGCCTGGAAATTATGTGCACAGATAAATATATACAGACACAGGTGTACATGGACATGCATACACGCTCGTGCCCATGCTCACACATATTCATTAATATTTTATATCTTGATATGGACACATTCGTAAACATTTTTTTAATTTCTTATATTATTTCATACATACAAAAACATATGCTGATTGCTGGAGTAAAATTGATGTTAATATTCAAGCAAAGCTACATAATGAAAAATAAATAGTTCTTAAAATTGACAGTAAAGTCTAACTGCCAATTAATATGCGAATTCCAAAACAAAAATATTTTTTTTTTCACAAAGGCGAGATCTATCGTCTACTTACTCAGGGCTGTTGGCAATGTCATCATACATCATCACAACAATACGTTCGTCTGGAATTCCATGACTTCTGACAACATGATAAGCATGACATATGTCAGCCTGTAAAATAAAAGATGACAATGTAAAACCATGGACTCTTTTAGTCCCAGGTACATGTTATATTAACTCATTGTTTCATAAGAAATTCATAATAAATATGTCTACCTGATGTCATGAAAACATAAACACAATGTTTTAAAACTAACGTTGGTCTCCCCAAATAAAGCAGGCCATGTTCCATTGATAACTTTGTTGGACTAGTCTACTTTCCTGGGTTGGTTACAGGTGTGCCGCTCTGTTGTTTGCTTTCTGGGTTGTCTTGTATTTACATCTTTTATTCCGAGAAAGAGAATGCCTGTGACATAGGTTGCAGCACTCTCTAGGGAGGCTGTGTTAGACTCAGTCTGTCCATATTTTTGGAGTGTTAAAAGCGCTGGTGTGCTGAAATATACAACACATGATATCAACAGCATTGCGGGGAAAAACCCTGTAACCTTGTGCCAAGGTCACATGGCTCAAAGTCTACCAATCAAAAGTGAGCTAGTATGTAACAATGTGTAAATGGGGAGACCAAGGTTAGTTTTACCTCACTATGTGTGTGAAAGGGTTAAAGTAACTGTAGGTACAGACTGTATAGGTGTAACAACTGGCTGGGGTGAAAGGAGTTACAGAAATTAAAGCATTTAAGCAGAAACAGACAAACACATGGCGAGTTGCTTGGGAGTGAAAAAAGTTAACTAAGTCCTAAGTGGGCTTCAATGACTTCAGCTGTGCCGGCAAGAAATACTAAATAATAATGTTAGTCAGGGCTTTCTTCTGGTAGTATGCAACGGTAAGCAGAACTGACACCTTTAATAAGGCATAATTTTTTTTAGCGTTGTTGTAATAGACACAGTGTAGTGTACTGGCATCTTTTTAACAACTTTGCTGTGAGCACTGGTACCTTCTTTTCTAAAAAAAAAAAAAAAGCTCTGCTTTCAGTAATGCTTGGAGAGCAAAGTCCAATTTCCCCTTTGTTTATCCTGAGAACACTGATAACATTTTGTCAGTGACACCAAAAGTGTGACATCTGAGCCTTTGTGTTGCACCAGGAAGAAGAAAAGAAGAAGAATTTCACTCTCCTGTAGCTGTTACTTCAACATGGTTTGTCCTAAAATTTTTGAACCTTACAGCAATTAACTGTATAACAGAATTGAAAAATACAGGTCTGTGACAGGAGTTACAGTAATAATTGAAACAGAATGGTTTAACGTAAGAGAAAAATTAGACAGAAAGTGTTTTGAAATGTGTACTATGTAAGCAGTTACCAAAAAATGTATTGTTAGTCGACTTGTACTGAAAGAATTAATATAATTAGCCAGATTTTTTTAGACCACAAATAAATGATATACCAACAGAGTATGTTTTGCATGATAACTCAGGTAATAGTTGTACTTTGCTTTGGAGAAAAACAGCTGAGACATGATAATTATCTTGACCTTCATCTTGTTCTTCTGCCTTCAATCTGCCAACTGAGCAGAATTTCTCTATCACATAATGCCATCCTTTACAGAATTATGAGTCGTTGCATTCTGTAGTTGTAGGTTACAGGATGAGTTAGCCAGTCCAACAACAACCCTTCTTTTTTGCCTTTTATGACATGCATGGTAGATTACAGTGCTTCTATTCTTTCCTTCCCAAAATGGGCAAGGATAACAAAATAGTGGTTATATTTTGTGTGTTTGGTTACTCATTCAACATAAAGAAGCACATTATATGTTGTTGTTTTTTGCTTTCAACTGACATATTATACTTTACTTAACTCTTTGTGACCCACAATTGGTTTCAACTGGCATAATATATTTTTATTAACTCTTTGTGACCCACTGTCAGTTTCAACTGACATACTATACTTTTACTAAATCGTTGTGACCCACTGTAGGTCTCAACTGACACTATATTATACTTTTACTAACTCTTTATGACCCATATTGGTTTAAATTGATATACTATACTTTTATAAACTCCATGTTACCCACTGTTGGTTTTGACTGACATACTATAAATTTCTTAATTCACTGTGTTCCATCCAATTGTTCCTTAACCCACTTTGCCCTAATTCTTTCTTTCTTTAATTTGTCCAAAAATTTTATTATTCTAACTCCTCTGACTCAAACAATGACTTAATATAACAACTGCCTGGTACCGAAAGAGTTAACTCAGACAAGGTTTCTAAAAAAGTTTTTTTTTTAATCCTGCAACAAATTGTTTATCAATAGAATGAATCATACAGGGAATTTCCCAACCTCTCAGATATTTTACTTCCTTAATCATACAACAGGATAATGTTAGCCTTGTGCCAAATAATGTAACAAAGCATGCAAGCTTTTTTGAGACACAAGAAAAAACCAGTTTGGTTAAATAAACAACTGTGCTTTCCTTATTTAAATGTCTAGGGAGTAAAAACATTGGAAATGTGTGATAGAGACACAGAAGTGTCATAACTCTATGACCCCAGGAAAGGCTAATAATAGCAATGTATTAGTTACCTGTGTAATTTAGTTACGTTTTTGAATAAAGCATTTTTTCACAATTTCCCACAGGTTCATGAGTTTGTTTTTTGTTTTTTTGTAGCATTTGTGGAATGAGAAGGTTAAAAGGAAAGTAAGGGATCATTCTCACACTATCTGGACATCATGTTTCAAGTCTTTACCTCAGATGTTCACCACTGTTAGGGCACTGTAGGCCTGGGGTTTTTAGTGCCTCCTATTGATGGCAGCCACCATTAACTGTGCAGATCAGGATATTATTTTTGGCCTCGAAGTAAAAAAATCTTTCACCTTAGTGATGATTCAAACCTGGGTATCCCAAATGAGGCCAAAGTGTTCTTTACTGCTTGGCCAGCTGCACCGTCATGCATACAGTATTAAACTCATATTTGTATGGTCAAACAGGCCCTCAATGGGTGAAGTGGCCAACACCACACCGACCAACTTTATTCCCACTATGATGCTGAATGTTGAGTTAAGAATCAACATCACAGCACTCAGGTCATTCCCATATGTGCTCCATCACCATCTTCAGCAGAAAACACTGAGTTCCAATTCCACTAGCACTAGCAATTGATTGTATGCCACGCCTTTGCCTTGAGTGCTGAGATATCCTGGTCACTCTTCATTCTTCTCATACTGTGATGATCTGTTTGTGCCCTCGCACTGTTTACATGTCCCCAAAGGAACCTTAGAACATCTGACTTGTGAAGCATCAATTCACCACCAAGCAGTGTGCAGAAGCAGCCAGTCCATCTGGCTGTTCTTTTCACAATACATCATCATTTTCTTGAGATAATATCCAAAGAATGCTAACTACTCAGGAACCCTGAAGGTATGTTTGCCATTCTGCACATAGCACCCTGCTTCTACCTTTCTCAACATGCTCTGTGAGGTAGTTACAATCAGGACATGTGTGTGCAGCTGATTCTCAAGCCAGCAGGACAGGTGACTGCCTCCACCTCCAAATGATGAATTAAATGTATGAGTTGGGCGTAAAGAATGAATGAATGGGAAGAGGAACAACACACACACAGAAGAAAAATTGGAATATGTCAGCAGGAGCCTTTACCAACAAAAAAAACTTGTTGCTGAGGTTTTTGTTGACCTTGGTAAATC